AGGCTGGAAAGGAGGTGGAGGGAGCTGGGAGCCGTGGGGGGGGGTCGGGGCCGGGGAGACGGCGCTCACTGACCCCCGGGTGCCCCCTGACCAGGTGATCCTGGGAGAGATTTTCTCCGACTACACTCCGGCCCAGGTGGTAGTGAAGGAGCTCCGAGCCAGCGCGGGGCCCCTGGAGCAGCGCAAGTTCATCTCGGAAGCCCAGCCCTATAGGTATGGGGGGGCCTCTCGTGGATGTGGGCTCTGGGGACCCAGAAGCCCGGGCGCGAGCCTCCTGGAGGTGCCACTCGGGAAGCACAGTGGGGGTCATACCCGGACTCCGCCTCTTCCTGGCACAAGAAGTCCCCCCAGCCTCAGGTCCTGCCTGGGGACAGAGCCAGGGATAGACGTGAGAGGCGGGTGATGGAGGTGGGGGCAGCACGGAAGCTGAGCGAGAGGCCAGTCCCTCTCCACTCTGAACCTCAGGATCTTCATCTGAAAAGCGAGGCCAGGAAGCCTGATTGTCCTCCTGAGGACAGCTGAGAGGATGTGAGATTGCCGTGCTCAGTGCTGGGGACCCTCTGGTGGATCCTCAGGCCGCTGCTTGGGGGTGAGGAAGGGCACAGACCAGGACACAGAGGCAGGACACCGACCAGGACCTTGAGCGGGTGCCCAAGAAGGTGCTTAAGGAGCTCTGGCCCCTTCCTCCTGCTAGGCTGTGCGCTCTGTCCCTCCCCTGCTTTGTCTCCTCTCCAGTGTAAGAGCTCCTAAAATGAGGTCTAGGTAAACATTTGCCGGATAAATGCCTTGTGAGGTAGTGAGATCCCCGTCATGGAAAGGGTGTGTCATGGAGACCCCCCTGTCAGAACAACTGTAAAAGGGAGAGACAAAGACTTTGGATTCTGGCACTCCCTTGCTCCAAAACCTCTCATGGCTCGCTCCTGCCCACACGACAAGTCCCGCTCTTCCTTCCAGCCCACAGGCCCTGCAGAGTCTGACCCTGTTCCTTCCCTGCCACTGGTCCCCTCATCCCAGCCACTCAGCCTCCTCACTGATGCTCCCACACACGAGCCTCTTCCCTGCTTCCCCTCTCTAGAACATCGCTCCTGGCTCACCTCCAGCTTTGAGTCGGGGGCTCCCTTCCCCTCCTCAGGTCTCAACTCAGAGAGGCCTTCTCTTCTCCCCGCCACCATCTAAAGAGGGTCCCGGGATGTCCCAACATGTCATCTCCCATTTTCTTCATAGCATATATCCTAGGCCTCGTTATTTTATCTGTTTACTTTTTGCCTTTCTCTTCCTAGAACCTATGTGGCAACCACAAGTCACATATGCCTATTCAAAGTTAAGTTAAGCTGAGCGTGGGGGGGGGTCCTGTAGTCCCAGCCACTCGCAAGGCTGAGGGAAGATCGCTTGAGCGCAAGAGTTCGAGGCCGCAGTGAGCTACGATGGTGCCATTGCACTCCAGCCTGGATGACAGAGTGAGACCCTGTCTCTTACATTAAAAAAAGTAATCAAATTTTTAAAAACGTACTTCCTCAGCTACACTCTTCACATCTCAAGAGCATGACAGCGGCCCCATGGCGAACAACACAGGCCTCGAACACTCCCACTTTCACTAAGTTCTGTTGGACAGCACAGGTTGACACTGGCAGCTCAGGGCCCATCTTGCCACCCAAGCACAAGTGTCATCGGCCCTTAGTAGATGTTCACTGAGTGAACCACAGACCTGAAATCAAATCCCAGCTTTGCTACCATTCCCAACTGTGTGACCCTAGGCGAGTCACTTCACCTCTCTGAGCCTGTTTCCTTCTGGATCGAACAGGGATCAGTATCCCGCCTCGCAGGGTTGTTGGGAAGATTTGACGACAAGAGTGGCTGGCCTTGGCTCAGATCTGTAGGTGTTCAGTGAACCCAGGCTTCCTTCTACACGGGAGGTCTTGGATCTACCATGCTGGGAGCTGTGGCCATGAACCCAGCCCCAGCACATGGTGGGTGCTGAATAACATGCTGTCGCCTGGCTCTCCTGCCAGGTGGGAATGGGAGGTACAGTTCTCCCAGGTGGAGGAGGTCACACAGTGTCAACAGCAGAGCTGTGGTTAAAACACAGGCAGTGGATGGCTGGGGCCGGGCACTGGCCCCAAGGTGCATAGGTGGCCCCTGCCTCAGGTACCTTCTCCTGGCCGGGCTCTGGGCTGCGAACTGAAATGTCATCCTCCTCCCACAGAACTCCAGGCCATGTATGAGAGTCAAGTCCTTCGTTCTACTAGTCTACAAGTCTAGGTACTAGGGACACAGTTGGCAACCGGACATCCCTTATTCTTGTCCTAGTTCACCACCTAGTGGAGAAGACACACAATAAGTAAACCAAGACACACATTTAGTCTTCTTTTTTTTTTTTTTTTAATAGAGAAAGGGTCTTTGCTATGTTGCCTAGGCTGGTCTCGGACTCCTGGCCTCAAGCAATCCTCCCTCCTCAGCCTCCCAAAGTGCCGGGATTACAGGCGTGAGCCACCATGCCTGGCTCAGATATTTTAAAAAGAGAAAATATCAAAGAATGAGAAGTACTCCAAGGCAGTTTGTGATAGAGACAGGGTCCACTTTGGACAGGACCATCGGGGAGGCTGGGTTGACCCAGAGGAGTCGGCCATGCGGAGCATCATAGGAAGTGTGTTCCGGGCAGAGGGAACAGCAGGTGCACAGTCTGTGAGACAAGAGTAAGCTTAAGGAGAGTGAGCAGTGAGAATGCAGGGTGAAAATAAACCTGGTAATATTTGAAAATTTCAACATAAAAACGACCATACTAGCGAGGGCCTCTCACTACATAACAGTTTCTCTCTGACCTCACTCAATTCCACTCCATGTCTGTATGAGGGAGCTACTATCAGTGCTCCTGTTTTACAGAGGAAGAAAACGGAGGCAGGGAAAGGCAAAGTGACACACCTAGGAAAGTGGGAAGTAGGATTCTAACCCCGAGCCTGCTTCTTACCCACGGCACTAGGGTAAAGGTGGGGTGTTCAGCCTAGCACTGGGGAGCATTGAAGCTTCCTGGGGAGATAGTATTGAGGCTGAAGCCTCGTGGGGGAGGAGAATTTGGATGAGGGATGGGCGTTCTCCATAGAGAGCACTGTGAAAGGAGAGGCCTGGAGGCCGAGTGAGGGGCCTGTGTGTTTGGGACGATGTGTGTGGAGCCAGGCAATGCTGAGAGAGCAAGAGGCCCAGGATTGGGCTCCGGCCTGCGTGCTGGGGAGCCACAGAGGGCTGTGAGCAAGAAGCAGGGGCAAACGAAAGGGGAGAGACTGGAGGCAGGGAGACTGGGAGGAGGCTTGAGCTGGGATTGTGGGGATGGAGAGGAGGAGACAGAGAAGAGTCAGGAGCAGGAAGGAAGGGGGCTGTGGGGGAAGGAGAGACAAGGGAGTGTCTGGGGGTCTGGGCCCAGGAGCTGGCCAGTGAGGGCAGTCCTGGGATAGGGGCCTCGGGAGGGAAGGGGCAGTGGGGAGAAAGATTGAGGTAGGGAAACTGAGGCCAAGGAGGCTGAGGCAGCAGTTTGGTCCTGCTGGGGGCTGGGGGACAGGGGCTGCCTCCCTGACCCAGCCACCTCCTCACCCCCAGGAGCCTGCAGCACCCCAACGTTCTCCAATGTCTGGGGCTCTGTGTGGAGACGCTGCCCTTTCTGCTGATTATGGAGTTCTGCCAACTGGTGAGGGTCTTGGGGGAAGTAGGGGAGGGCAGAGTGAGGAGCTGGGTGGAGGGCGGGAGGCAAGTCTGAGGTCCCGGGGCTATCAGCACCGTCATCATCCTAGACACCTGTGTGGCATGTGCTGCCATTTCTTGAACGCTGACTGTCCTGGTGGCCCTGAACTCTCAGGTGAGGTGGGTTCTGTCATTACCCCCTTCAAGCAGTAGGGGAAACTGAGGCTCAGAGCAGAGGCCGTCCCCATCCTGGCTACAGTCTGGCTGGCTGCGTGAGGGCCAGGGAGGGGCTGATCCTTCCGTGCCTCCCCTCCAGGGGGACCTGAAGCGTTACCTCCGAGCCCAGAGGCCCCCCGAGGGCCTGTCCCCGGAGCTCCCCCCTCGAGACCTGCGAACACTGCAGAGGATGGGCCTGGAGATCGCCCGCGGACTGGCACATCTGCATTCCCACAACTACGTGCACAGGTGGGTGTCCGGGAAGCTATGGGAGGGTGACGGGGAGGCCACGGGGAGGGGCTAGGGGAGGGACGGAGTCACGATTGGCTGACACAAAAGAGGAGAAAACCAAGGACGGTAAAGAGGAGCCAGGAGAGGAGGAGGAGTTAGGAAAGGGGGCGGGACAAAGAGAAGGGGTGGAGTCAGGGGAGAAGGAAGAGGAGGGGAGGAGTCAGGAGAGGAGGAGGGGTTAGAGGAGGGAGGGGGACAAAGGTGAAAGGGGAGGGGCCAGGAAAGGAGGACGAGGAGGAGGAGCTAGGAAAGGAGGGGGAGTTAGGAGACAGAGGGGGCAAGAGAAGGGGGAGGCGACAGGGAAGAAGGAAAGGGAGGAGTCAGGAGAGGAGCAGGGATTAGAAGAGGGAGAGGGGACAGAGGGGATGGGGGAGGAATCAGGGAAGAAGGAAGAGGAGGAGTCAGGAAAGGAGGAGGAGTTAGGAGAGGGAGGGGGCAAAAGGAGAAGGGGAGGAGCCAGGGAAGGACGAGAAGGAGGAGCTAGGGAAGGAGGCGGAGTTAGGAGACGGAGAGGGCAAGAGAAGGGGGAGGAGTCAGGGAAGGAGGAAAGGGAGGGGTCAGGAGAGGAGGCGGGGTTAGGAGAGGGGGCGGGAAGAGAAGAGAAGGGGCGGAGTCAAAGACGAAAGCAGAGAGGGAGGAGCCCGGACAGGAGGAGGAGTTAAAAGAGGGGACGGGGCCAGAAAAGAAGGGGAGGAGTCAAGGACGAAGGAAGAGGAGGGGGAGGAGCTAGGCCAGGAGGCGTCAGTGGAGGAGGAGGAGAAAGGGGAGGAACCAGAAGATGAGGAGGCGGAGTCAGGAGAGAAAGAAGAGCCCCGGAGGAGGGGAAAGAAGGAATCAGGGATGAATAGATCTGGGGAAGGAAAAATCAGGAGAGGGATGGGAGTCAGAAGAGGAAAAGAGTCAGGAGAGGAGGGGGAGAAGCCAAGTGAGGTGGAGGAGGGATCAGGAGAGGAGGCAGAGGGGCCAGGAGAAGGGTCGGGCGAGGAAAAGGAGTCGGGGAAGAGGCGGGGTCAGGGAGGAGGGAGAGGAGGAGGGAGAGGAGGAGGAGGAAAGGGGGCTCGTCGGGGGGAGGAACCAGGGAAGGGACTGAGAGGAAAAGCCGGAGGGGCGGGGGGCGCTGCCCTCGCTCACCTCTGCCCCCCCCAGCGACCTGGCCCTGCGCAACTGCCTGCTGACCTCCGACCTGACCGTGCGCATCGGAGACTACGGGCTCGCCCACAGCAACTACAAGGTGGGCGG